TCTGGGAACTGGACAGTCTAGGAACTGGACTGACTGGGAACTGGACAGACTGGGAACTGGACAGACTGGGAACTGGACAGTCTGGGAACTGGACAGACTGGGAACTGGACAGACTGGGAACTGGACAGTCTGGGAACTGGACAGACTGGGAACTGGACAGACTGGGAACTGGACAGTCTGGGAACTGGACTGACTAGGAACTGGACAGTCTGGGAACTGGACAGACTGGGAACTGGATGCCGTGGAATCTAGCCGATTGGGTAGCTGCCTCCATGTGGAGCTCTTGACCAATCACAGCAGCCGTAGCAGCTTGATTTGATGTTAACTGATAAACCAGCAAACATCCACAAAGGAACAAGTTGCATCATTTGGGTTTTCCAGCTAAAACCGGAGCGGCCATCTTTGTTCTGCTTCCACCTGTGGTTGATGCGGCGACGTTTTTCACATCGCTGCGTTTCACTGCTTCTGTTGGTTTCTGACTTTCAGTGAGTCTGAGATCCATAGCGGTCAGGTAAGGAAGAGAGAGATTGAAGACGTCTGTGAGGGAGATAGACCACCTGGTCAGTCAGGTCATCAGGATTATGATTCTACTGGAATGTTCCGGAGCGGCAGGGACCTGCTGCTCTGGGAGGTCCGGCAGAGGAGGAGGTGTTCTGACCTTTGACCTCTGCTGATTCTGCCAGATGCACGGCAGCGGCAGCATGGAGCAGGTCTCTGTGGAACCAGTTCCAGTCTGACCTTCTGGAGGCCAGCTGGTCTGCAGACAAAGCAGAGGGTGTGAATACTTTAAAGCTGATGTGGACCTAGATGTTAGCAGCTGATGGGCCACCAGAAGAACCAGGTGGTCCCAGGTTCTAGGATGTTGTTTCCATAACGACCACCTGCTTTGTCTTCCTGTCCAGGTGGGCTTCAGAGAGCCGCTCACAGCAGAACCAGAACCAGAACCTCATCAGCAGCCCAGCAGCAGCTCAGGCCATCACCATGGTAACTATAAGGTTCTAGTCCTCATCATGGGTTCTGGTTCCGGCCCGTGGAGCTTAGTTGGACTAAAAGTTCTGATGAGATGATTGAGAACCTCCTATTGTTCCTAATGTGTTCTGTCAGGAGCTGGTGGAGGTTCTGTGGACCCAACCGTCCAGAACCAGAGCCGTCTGGAAAAGGCCGAGCTTAACTCCACCCTGGCCCTGAAGGTGGAGCTCCAGACGCTGCAGGTTAGCTTCTTCCTCCTCCACCTTCTACCCCTCTACGCCGTTACCCCTAACTGGTAGGACTGGGGGGGTCTGCTCTGACCATGGCAGCTCGGTGGGTCCTGGTGGACACCCCCACCCCCACCTCCACCCGCTCAGGTTCTGCTGCTGAAATCTTCTCCTTTTTGCTCCGGTCTTTGTGTTTAAACCTTCTCCTGTCCAGAACCGGAACCAGAACCAGGCTCAGAAGTACCCACCTTTTTGGGGTTTGAGCAGACCAGATCCCAGAACCATGAATGGGAGAAACCAGGAACCTGGTTCTGGTTCTGGTTCCAGTCCATACTCCAGTGAATCCTTCTGATCCGTTTCTCTGTCGTTCAGGAACGTTTCTGCTCCATAAATTCTCCCAGAGCTTCCTGTTCCTCTGGGATGGGAGCGGTTCTGAGGTTCAGAGCCCCCCCCCCTTCCTCGGGGCTCTTCATCCTCCTCATCCTCAGTCTTTCTCTTCTCCAGGAGGAAGCCTTCGATCCCCACAGGGCGCTCCAGGAGACCCTTCAGAACCCTGGAAGGACCCGGGCCCTGATGGATGCCCGAGCCGCTGAAGGTGACCCCCCCTCCAGAGAGGAGTCTGTCCCCGGCTCAGGCTAACATCTGGATGCTACTCATCTCTCTCTCTCTCTCTCTCTCTCTCTCTCTCTCTCTCTCTCTCTCCAGAGGTGAACGTCTCTCGCTCTCAGATCCTCTTCAGCTCTCTGGTCAGCGTCAGCGTCCAGGAGGATCAGCTGCTCAGCCAGGTGCTGCAGGACAGGCTGATGCTGGCTCCGCCTCCACCCTGCTGCCATGACAACAAGACAGGAGAGGGCCCCTCCCTCCACTTCTTCATCCACTCTGACCTGTACCGACAGAAGCCCCTCCCACTGGAGGAGGGGCCACCAGTGATGAAAGCGTCTCTGTCCCCATGTCCAGCCTCGTCCACCTTTGACCTCTACAGGAGACAGAGGTGCTGGGAGACGGCGCCCTGACTCGGACCGCCGCCGTGTTCCAGCCTCGGGGGGGGGGGGGGTTTATATTTTTTAAACTGCTGTATTTAATAAAATCATTTCTAGGTGAACCGGCTCTGGTTTCATCTTATTAACTAATTGTCCTTTCTGATTGGATGATTCCAGAGGATCCTGTGGGTCAGGATGAACAGAACCAGCAGGTATCAGAACCACTGACCCGCTCTGGGTCACATAGCTGCGCTGTTCTGCCTCAGTATCGGATCAGAACATCCCTGCTTAAAGGAAAAGTCCGCTAATGTTCAGATTCCAGTTCTTTAAATCTGAAATGATTCCATCCTGTTCAATAAATGATCAGTGTTTTTAATTCAGAGTAATTTTCATGTGAATGTGCTTTACTGGAGGCATCCATGTTTGTCAAAGAACACTACTGCCACCTGCTGGTTAGTGACGTTGATCAAGTCACAACGCGCTAAAATTTCCTTCAATTTTTTTTTATCATTGCAGCCTTTTGCTAAAATCAATAAAGTTCATTTTATTTCTCATTAATGTAACTCAGCATCTCATCCTGACAGAAAAAAACAGAAATGTAGAATTTTTTTGCAGATTTATTAAAGAAAAGAACTCAGCTGGTCATCAGTATTCAGGCCCTTTGCTGTGGCTCCTCTTCACCTCTCAGGCGTCTGGTTTGCTGATCAGATGGTTCTGCTCCTCCATTGGAGTCCAGCTGTGTTTAATGAACCTGATGAGGAAAGGAGCTCAGCTGTCTATAGAAGAGCTGTCAGAGCAAAGCAGAACCATGAGGGGGAAGGAAAGGAGTTCAGAGACTGAGGCCAAGGTTCCTAAACAGGTTCCTCAGCGGCTCCATCATCCTCCAATGGAAGAAGTTTGGGACGAGCAGAACTCTTCCTGGACCTGGACGTCCAGCCAGATGGCTTTCATCTCCTCAGATGAAAGGCTAAAAACCCATGAAGGCCTCCCAGATTATGAGGAAGAAGATTCTCTGGTCTGATGAGACCAAGGCTGGACTTTAAGGCATTAATCCTAAGTGTTGGAAAATCACCTGCCTAAAACCTTCACATCTAAAGAGCTGCAGCTGTTAACTAGAAGGACTTTCCTCATGTCATAGTCCTCTTTCTGCAGCCAAGTTTCTACAGGCCAACATGAACGATGGTGATGAAGCTTCATGAGCCCCACCTACTGGTGGAGAGCAGAACTACAGTTAATGTCATTTTCTTTTTTTCCAGTTAAGTTTCTTTGAATAATAAAATCTTTCTTTCTTGTGTGTAAAATGTCTTAGAAGAGAAAAGCTATTTAAGTGAAATAAGTGCAAATTGGGCAGTGATCAAAATGTGTCATTTTTATTCAAACATTATAGTTTTTCCAGTTTTTAATCATGTTGGAAGTTATGTGTTAACCAACCAATCTAATTTAGCAGAGTTTTATCTAATCTTTATCTGTAGGAGGGCAAACCACGTCACATTAGCCAAAATACTTTGTTTCATTGCAACTTCCAAAAGTCTGAGGTGGGATTCAAACCAACAACCTCAGAATGGGAGTTCTGACACCTCTAGCAGGGTGACGTTTTCCCAGACAGCGATACTAGTTAACACTAACCTTCCAGCTGTAACCAGTGGCTGGCTCAGATTTTGATCATTATATTGTTTAATCTAATTCAACTAGTTTTAGCCAACTAGCCAATCTATCCAAACCAGGGGCGGTTCTAGGATCAGAGGTTTAGGGGGCTGAGCACCCAGAGACATGATTACTTTCACCTTTTAACCGACTCCATCATTGACTGATGCTTCGTATCTGAGACGTGTGCAAAAAGCATTTAGAATATTCCAACCAATCAAATCAACTCGTTTCATAGAAACCTGTGAATCAGTTTTCATAAAACATTTTATCTTTTGTGCCTAAATGACTTCCATGATAAAACCGACTGAAATGTTTTTCTTTGCCCCTTTAACAGCTGCTGGTTTTCCTGACCTTTCACCTTTCACACACCTCTGCTCCCCCTTTACTCCTCTCCCTCTTTAGACCGGTCATCAGAAAATGGGTTATAAATTCAAATAAGCTGAAAGAAATGATTTATTAATGGTTCAGTAAATTTAAATAGAGTTGTGGTTATAAAAAGCAGCCTCAGACAGATTAGAGCACCTCACTGGTGAACATTTCACCAACACACCATCAGTAGGTGCAGAAATCTGAACATTTCAGAAACACCTGAATGCAGCAGCGTTTCAGGTAAGGAGCTCCACCAGGCTGGTTTACCTGATTATATCTGATGAACCAGGACATAATTTAATGGGTTAAATAACCAAATACTGGATAGTTTTAACAATTTTGGTTTTTATTGTAAAAATCAGTTTTAAAACTGCTCATATTTTAGGATTGATTCAGAAACGGGCTAAAAACATCTGGACTGGAACACCGAGGCTGTTTAGACGCCTGCGAGCTGAACCCCTTCCTGAAGCGGTCAGGTGGTACGGCGATACGCGCCTCGTGGGAACTGCCCTTCCTCTGCCCGCCACCCGCCTCCCCTCACCCCTGATAAAGGATCAGACTGAATCAGAGCAGAAGGAACCGGTTCTGTTTATTAACGCTGAACTTTTTCCACCAACATCAGTTCTACCGACTGAGTTAACTTCTGAACATTTCTACTAGAACATCTAGAATCTAGTTCTGCTCCATCCCACCCATACTCAGATGGTTCTGACCCACTCTGCTCTTTTGGTTCCGTTTGGAAATAAAAATGTGGAACTGGAATGAAACCAGAAGATGGCGGCTCCAGCTGGCAGCCTTTACTGGGACAGAAGCAGGTTGAACAGCAGAGTCCAGAAGTTCTGACCTCCAGCTCCTCTGGACTGAATGAAACCCAAACAGGTTCTGATCAGAACAGAACCTGAAGAGAAGGAGGTGGATCCAGCAGGACCAGGGAGGCCCAGCAGGACAGAGCATCCCTGGAACTGGTCCCAGTCTGGGATGGGGCCTTCTGATTGGCCGACAGGGCGGCTGTAGATCAGGAACACGAGGCGGAAACATTTATTCACTTTATTTGTTAAAAAGAGCAGCAGCCAAAAACAATAATAATAAAAAAAAAAAAAGGGGAAACTAAAGTCCGGCTTGATTTGGGCCTCGGCCTCCAGCTGGTGGACGGAGCTTCTCACCTGGATGGAGCAGAGCGGCCTGCTGAGGAACACCTTGGTAACAGTTGGGTTTGCAGCCTGGAGGCAGAACCCAGGAGGACTCTGGGCCCAGATACCTACTGCACGAGGAATCACCACACCATGACTGGAAACTTAAAGATGTGGGAACACTGGAAATACTGGAGAACTATGAAAGAAACCCGACGTGTTTTAAAAGGTCGCCCCGTGACCCGGATGGGCCGGAGACTGGGACCCACAGGGACGGGCTCCTAGCGCATCCGGTACTCCAGAGTCTTTGAGATCTCACACAGCTGACCCCTGAAGTCCACGTCCACGGCGAAGTCCAGGTCCCTCTGCAGAGACACCGCGGGTTAGAACCTCAGAGGCAGCCACTCACCCAGCAGCAGAACCGGCCGGGTCCACTTACATTGTTCTTGACGTTGGGCTTCATGCTGAGGGTGCCAAAGATCTCCTCTCCCGTCTTCACAGTCAGGTAGTCGTCCAGGTAGAACACCGTCTGCTTCCAGTGGGTGTAAGGAGACTCTGGACCTGGAGAACAAACATCAGCATCACCTCCTGCTCCAAGCTGCAGCAAACAGCACAAACTAAACGGGCCAGAACCAGAACCAGAACCAGCTCAGCTCCAGGAACTAGCTGTGGGTCTAGATACGGCGGTGAGGAAGGGGGGGGGCAAGTTTGTGGGACAACGGAGGTACATGAGGGCCAAAAAGGGTCCCAGCGTTCTCAGCTCGCTCTGCTAGCTGCTCCATCTTCAGTCGTTTTCATTAAGGAACCAAACAGGAAATACGCGTAGTGTAGAGCGGATGTAGGTTTGACCAATCAGAGGCCTCCTGTCTGCGGCGCTGGCTACGTTCCACTGCAGGCCTTGATGATCAATCCAATTTTTTTGTGAGATCTGATTTTTTTGCGTTTCCGTTCATATTTCCAAATAAACGCGACTTGTATGTGATCTCCTCTGTGAACTGCAGGCAAACAACCTAAGTGTCACACCTGCGCCGTAGAGGACGCTATGACGTCACAGGCCAGCGTGCTTCGTGTTTATGGAAGTAAACATGGCTGGTAGCGCCAGAGAACGTCTAGCAATCTTTCCCAAACTTAAAATCTCAATCTTTTCAAAATGGTTAATTATAAATATCGCGCTCTCCGGTTTATCGTCCACCATGATTGTTTTTCTTGCCTCTTCTGCGTAGCAAGAAGCAGACGAGGATCTACTGTCGGACATTAATGGCGTTCAGGTGGGATGAATGCGACCTGGCGTTCAGAAACAGGTCACATTTAAACAGATCAGATACGCATCAGATCCAGGACCTCAGAGCTAAGCATCCTGGGTCGCTTTGGAAAAGATCAGATCTGAGCTGTTCAGACATGAAAACATCCGATCCAGGTGGCTTATGGGTAGAAAATCAGATTTGGGTTCCTTTAGGCTGCAGTGTGAACGCAGCCACCTACAATTATAGGGAGGCGTCTGCGGAAGGGGGCGGGGCATATCGCACTGAGATGACCTGGTTTCTGACAATAAATCAGCCTAAAGGCTTTGGAGATGGGGGCCCCTGAGGGCCCGGGGCCCTCCATGGTGTTTGGAAATGTCGGACTGATGCAGTACTGCAAACTTTAGTTAGAGCTATGAATCTAGAGCTGCTGAATCTGGCCCGGTACTGAAGGGTGGGGATCTGGACCATCTGGACCAGAACCCTGTGACCCGCGTGAGGAAGGAGCCCACTGACTGGTGGAGAAGCCGATCCTCTTGTGGCAGCGGGTGAACTCGATGTTGAAGTAGGTGACCAGAGCGTGGATGTAGTCGTTCCTCTTCACCTGCAGGCAGAACGGCGAGGTGAAGGTCAGGTCCTCGGCCTTCACCGTGTAGATGTCCACCTCCTGCACAAACAGATGGGTTCAGTCCCGGTTCTGCAGAACAGAACCGCCCCCCCACCCCCCGGCGGCTGATGACTCACCCTGATGAGGCAGGAGTTGGTGACCAGCTGCTTGGGGTCCACCACATCAACCAGGGGCTCCTTGATGGCCACCTCCTTGATGCAGGACATGTCAAACCCGTAGACGTTCTCCCACCCTGGGGAGAGGAGGACACGGGTCACAACCTGTGCTTGAACGGGCCGCTTGGTGCCGGGAGCAGGTCCACAGAACCAACCAGAACCTCTAGGAAAACACCAGGCTGACACGTTCAGAGAGCGTGGTTAGAGGTGAGCAGAACCACTGGAGCGACCCGGCTGGAGGCCCATCCAGTGGTTCTGCTGTTCTTCTGGAAGGCCTCCTCACCATCACCCTAATCCAGAGCCCCTCAGAAGCACATCAGACCCGCTGGTTCTGGGCCGCTCCAGAACCAGCGGGTCTGCTCTAATCTGCCACGGTTCCTAGATCATCTTCTGGTTCTGCTCCATCATCTCTAACCGAGGAGGCGGAGTTACTCACAGTGGATCTTATAGTCCTTGTACTGGCGGTCTTCGATGGCGGTGACGTACAGCGTGGCCCGGTCCGGGAAGATCAGCCCATCTGGTTTCTGTTGGAAGCAGAACAGAACCAAACCGGTCAGGAACCGGTGCTGCATTTTCACACCGTCATCAAACGGACCTCTGCTAGACCGCAGGTCTCCATCGCTGCCAGCAGGCGGCGCCGACTGCTGCTGATTTATCAGATAAATCAGCAGCAGGACCTTCCCATACACATTATAAACAGAGACGCTTCGTTGGACGCTGACGGCAGCGACGTGCCTAGAGGGCGGCCATCTTGGATCAGACCAAAGTTCAGACAGCTGCTGTCAGAATGAACAGGAGGCGCCTTAGATCCCATTTTAATCACATGAAAGACGAGTTAAGATAATATTACAATAACATTTGTTCATAATATACTATAACCCAAAGGAGGAAGCTACTCTGTTTAATCCAAGCAGATTTATGGTCAAGAGACTGTAATGTCTAGTCTATACACACTATATATATATATATACTTACTGATTAAAGAACAAATGTTCACATATACATGAATGATAAAAAAAAAACAGTGTAAAAGATTTTTGAAGGAGTTTAGACAACACAAATTTACCATTCACTATTTCACAAAAAAAAAATGAACATAGATTTAATAAAAATAAAATATAACTTTACTCTCCTTAGTAAATGATATTACAACAAACCTTCCTCTATAATTATAATACTCATTATCAAAGAGTAATCCTTTAAAATACTGAATAATAATAATATACTAGATAAATATATATTTGTAAAACAATGTTATAATTTATGGATATATAACTTTTTGTTAATCTTACTAATATTCAACTGCAAAATCTCTGACTTTCGATACATTTCAGCTCTGAGTTCAGTTTAAATTGTTTTTAATCTGAATAAATCTGTTTAATCCAATTAAAAGCTAATTTTAGTTTAGTTTTGGTCTTTTAAGTGTTTGTGACGTGTCAGAGATTATTATATTATCTCTAACTCGTCTTTCATGGGATTAAAATGAGATCCAAGGCGCCTCCTTTTCATTCTGACAGCAGCTGTCTGAACTGTGGTCTGATCCAAGATGGCCGCCCTCGCTGCCGGCAGCGTCTAAGTTTATAATGTCTATGGACCTGATTGGGGTCCACACAGTACCAACAGCAGGACTCAAACTGTTAGCAGAACCGCCCGGTCCATTCAGGAACCCTGACCCCCACCATGCTGCTAAATGATGATGTCATAGCCCCCCTCCTCACCAGCCACTTGTCCCTGGCGTAGATGACCGTGTTCAGCATGGACTCGTAGAACAGGCAGTAGCCCATCCACTCTGAGATGATGATGTCCACCCCCTCCACAGGCAGCTCCACCTCCTCCACCTTCCCCTTGATGATGGTCACCACTGCAGAGAGAAGGTCCTCCGTTAGTCCCTGCTGCGCCCCCGGGGTCCCGCTGGCGTCCACCTACTCACCGTCATCCAGGTTGTTGGCCTTGACGATCTTCACGGCGTAGTCTGAGATGCTGCTGCACTCTATCTGCAAACCCAAGCAGAGGCGGCGGTGAGGAACATGGCTGACCAGAGCGGGCAGGAGGAGCGAGAAGGTTGGAGCTTACCCCGATGACCTTCTTGGCTCCAGCTTTGGCAGCGAACATGCAGAGGATGCCCGTCCCACTGCCCACGTCCAGAACCACCTTGTCCTTGAACAGGTGCTTGTTGTGGAACATGGAGTTGCGGTAAGTCAGGGTGCGGACCTCGTCTTTCAGCATCTCCTACGGATGTAGCAACAGAGGACCAATAAGAGCACCGGCTGAAGGAAGAGCCACCAATCAGAGGAGGCCTGTGGGGCCCCGCCCTTACCTCATGGATTCCAAAGTGGGCGTAAGAGTCGAAGTAGTAGTCCTTAGACGTCATGTCCTCTGCTGCTGGCTTCACTGAGCTCTCCCCCTGAGAAACCTCGACCAGAGAGAACACCGTTACTGACCGCTCCGTCCACCGCCCACTGAAGACCTGCCCCCTCCCACCAGAGGCCCGCTCCGTCCGCTGGAGACCCACCCCCTCCCACTGGAGACCCGCTCCGTCCACTGGAGACCTGCTCCGTCCACCGCCCACTGAAGACCTGCCCCCTCCCACCAGAGGCCCGCTCCGTCCGCTGGAGACCCGTAAGCCCGAAGGAGACCCGCGCCATCCGCCGCCCACTGGGGACCCGCCCCCTCCTACTGGAGATCCGCCCCTCCCACTTAAGACCCACTTCATCCAAGTCCCACTGGAGACCCGCCCCCTCCCACTGGAGACACGCCCCCTTCCGCCGCCCACTGGGGACCCTTCCTGTACTCCACTGGCCGCTGATCAATCGTTCATGTTTGTTGAATTTTAAAACCAAGAAAAGTTTAAACTGTTATATTTAAAAAATAAATGTCTGTGACATCATCGTCTGACATCATCAAACCCAAAGAGAGGATGTTTAAGGATACATGACTCATCATACAGAATAATCTCTCTCTGCTGTGGAAAGGTCAAAGGTTACCGCATCCTCACGAGCGAAGGATGAGTGGGGGTTCATGGGTAATTTGGATTTCAGTTTTTGTTATTTAACATCATTATAATATAACATGAAGGCAGCATTAAACCCAGATTATAGAATAAACCCCAGATTATAGAATAAACCCCAGATTATAGAATAAACCCCAGATTATAGAATAAANTCAGCTCAGGAGGATCCACGGCGCACTCTGCTGGAGAAAGGTGGTACAGCTCCAGATCCCAACAGTACCCCCCTCTCAACGACCGCCTCTTGGCGGTCCAGAAGATGTCGACGGGAGGGAGCGCTCATAATCCTCTATCAGTGATGGATCGAGGATGTAGGAGCCAGGAACCCATTGGCGATCCTCCGGACCATAGCCCTCCCAATCGACGAGGTACTGCCATCTGCGACCTCGCCGACGGGAGTCCACGATCCGGCGGACGGTGAAGGCAGGATGTCCATCGACGTCCAGGGTAGGTGGAGGGGAGTCGGATGGAGGGCACAAAGGGCTAGAGACAACTGGTTTGACCTGGGAGACGTGGAACGTGGGATGGATGCGAAGACTCGAAGGAAGGTGCAGGCGTATGGCAGAAGGGTTAATCACCTGGGCAATTTTGTACGGACCAATGAATCTCGGAGACAACTTGCGAGACATCCCCTTGAGGGGAATGTCCCGAGTGGAGAGCCATACCTCCTGACCAACGACGTACTCTGGGGCAGGACGTCTCTTTGAGTCAGCGAAGCGCTTGGTTGTCTCAGAAGAGCGGTTGAGAGTAGCGATGGTGTCTCTCCAGACTCGTTGACAACGACGGATGTGATGGTTGACAGACTGAACCGAAATCTCCCTCTCGTCTGCTGGAAAAAGTGGAGGTTGATATCCGAGACTAACCTGGAAAGGTGACTGGCTGGTGGAAGCAGACTTGAGAGAGTTGTGGGCATATTCAATCCATGTGAGGTATTGGCTCCAGTCGGTGGGGTTGTTGGAGGTCAGACAACGGAGAGTAGACTCGAGCTGCTGGTTCATTCTTTCAGTTTGACCGTTGGACTGTGGATGATAAGAAAGGCGGTACAGCTCCAGATCCCAACATATATATATATATATATATATATATATATATACATGTCCTCTACTACGTTTAAATACCTCTACTGCGTATTTAAAAATAGAGCAGGAGCAAAACTGAGTATGATTGTGCTTTATTCATGTAGTTATTACAAAGTATTAATCAAACCTGGGAGCTGGCGTGTGACATTCCTATTTTCGGTGCACCGCTGGTATGTGGGGGTCTGAGCGGCTCCAACAGAACTAATATTAGAAGGCAGAATGATAATCTGGGTGAACTGACTGCAATGATTAAGTTTTCAGGTGGATTTTCTCACTTAAAAACATATTAAAACTACTTTATTCCCACTGATCACAGCAAATATAGCTGCAAGGTGTATTTATTACAAAGTATTATTCAAACCTGGGAGCTGGCCGTGAGAGACACATTGCTGACGACACAGGGCTGTGATCACTCCTCTGAAACAGTTTATTATGCATAAATTAACTTAAAATCCTGAAACCTGCCGACATAATATGTTTGCTTTTATTATCCTATTATCCTTTTATAATCCTTTAGATTATTTAGATGAAAAACACCTGCCAGCCGCCGCGGTGGACCCGGAGGCGACCCGGCCCAGAAGCTGCTGTTGAATTAAGTTTTCAGGTAGAAAAATTGAGCGGGAGCAAAACTGAGTATGATTGTGCTTTATTCATGTATTTATAACAAAGTATTATTCAAACCCATCAATCAGACATGCCGATTTCCCCTGCTTCGCTGTCACTTTCCGTGCCGTGCGGCTCCTCTGAAATGATGCCGGCTTTTGCGAAAGCTCGAACAACAGTGCCAGCAGAGCTGCCTTCCACTTTTCGTGGAATTATTCTGCCGGCAGAATATGTTCGCTTTTATTATCTTGCTGCCTGCAGTTTAGATTGTACCAGTTAGTTCTGACGCGCAGCTGAAACAGCTTCGCTGCTCTGCCTGCGCAGTGCAAAGGTGTGTCTGACGCGCGTTGGGCGGAGCTATCCTATCCTTTCTTTGCCTTGCAGCTATATTTGCTGTCCAGCAGCAAAACTTCAATTTTTCCATCTCGAGCAGCAGCAGCGCGTTGGCTAGGGCTGCAACAACGAATCGATAAAATGGATAAAAATCGACTTTTAAAGGGTTGGCAACGAATTTCATCATCGATTAGTTGTGTCGCGCGATTAATGCGTCATCCGCCGCCGTCGTCGTCATCCCTGCCACTTGACTGAAACGGGGGAAGAACAAAAAAATACGGCAGAGCGAGTCAGCGCCGCAGGTGCAGTGTTGCCAACTCAGCGACTTTGTTGCTATATTTAGCGACTTTTCAGACCCCTCCAGGGACTATTTTTCAAAAAAGGGACTAGCGACAAATCTGGCGACTTTTTACGGTGTCCCTGGCGGCTTTTGGAGACTCTTACGTGAAAGCATGTACCGTTCCTACTCTTGTCCTCCAGTGGCAGCTACTGCCGTGGGGCTCCTCCCCCATCCCAACCCCGTTCTCCCGCTCCCGCAGGA